ATATGCTGGTGATGGAGTAGCCAGGGAGCCCTACAGCAAGAGCCTGACTGGTAGATATGAGGAACATTTGAGTCACATCAAACATCATGGTCACCATGACTCCATGCTGATATATAGATAGTGCAATTTCATCCAAATCCCACATGACTAGAACTGCTCTTGTATGAATATGGCCTTGGTCCTTCAAAGTTGACTTCCACCCTAATAAATCTAGCAGCTTCAGGAATTAGAATCGTCTAATTCTTGGATGTGAGACCTTATATCAAAAGGGCAAATGTGTGTCCTTTTAGGATGGCTTCCTTTTTCTCAGGATTAACCATTCTAAAGACCTTTTCTGGTCGACACAGAAGCAAGATTTGGGAGATTCTAGAATTGCCCACTCCAGTACTCTTGCCTGAAAAATCCCATGGACGGAGGAGCCTGGTGGGCTGCAGTCCATGGGGTCGCAAAGAGTCAGACACGACTGAGTGACTTCACTTTCACTTTTCACTTTCATGCACTGGAGAAGGATATGGCAACTCACTCCAGTGTTCTTGCCTGGAGAATCCCAGGGATGGCAGAACCTGGTGGGCTGCTGTCTATGGGGTTGCACAGAGTCGGACACGACTGATGTGACTTAGCAGCAGCAGCAGAATTGCCCATAACCTCATTTAAGGTAGTATTTCTCCAGCTGGAATCTGCATGGAGAGTTTTAAGCCTTATTGGCAAAGTAGGAGCCAGCATTCATTGTCATTATGTAAATATACACTCTAGGCAATTGATACTAAGGGTTTGGGCATGCTGGTTAGCAAGATGGATCCAACAACCTCAATCACATTCAGAAATTAGAGTCCTAGATTGTAAAGATTCATATAAAAATTAATTCAAAAGGATAACCAATAGTGTGAGGGTGAGAGAAAACGTAGTACACTCTCTTGGTTTGACTCCAGCTTACTATATGTATTGGCTATATAAAAGTTATCCAAGTAATGTGCTAAATATTATATTCACAAGTCCATACATCTTAAGAGAAGCTATGTATGTTAGAAATTTTTGTTCTGAAACCATTTCTAACATGCTCATAAAATCATGAAGTATAATATTTATTTCATGAAAAATTTAAAAAGGAAACTGTTAAAGAAACAAAGTTTTAGAAACTGAGGGTCCCAGAACTGTACGTTAGTAAAAATGAATTAGACATCTGCATTTTTACTTAATCTGGCCAGATTTGATTTTACATAAATGCACAAGCTTTATGTCTGGCTGTAGGTGAGTGATCACACCATCCCGATTATCTGGGTCGTGAAAGACCTTTTTGTATAGTTCTTCTGTGTATTCTTGCCACCTCTTCTTAAGATCTTCTGCTTCTGTTAGGTCCATACCATTTCTGTCCTTTATTGTGCCCATCTTTGCATGAAATGTTCCCTTGGTATCTCTAATTTTCTTGATGAGATCTCTAGTCTTTCCCATTCTACTGTTTTCCTCTATTTTTTTGCATTGATCAATGAGGAAGGCTTTCATATTTCTCCTTGCTATTCTCTGGAACTATGCATTCAAATGGGTACATCTTTCGTTTTCTCCTTTGCCTTTCATTTCTCTTCTTTTCTCAGCTATTCGTAAGACCTCCTCAGACAAACATATTGCCTTTCTGCAGTTCTTTTTCTTGGGCATGGTTTTGATCACAGCCTCCTGTACAATATCACGAACCTCCATCCATAGTTCTTCAGACACTCTAACAGATCTAATCCCTTGAATCTATTTGTCACTTCCACTGTATAATCGTAAGGGATTTGATTTAGGTCATACCTGAATGGTCTAGTGGTTTTCCCTACTTTCTTCAATTTAATTCTGAATTTGGCAATAAAGAGTTCATGATCAGAGCCACAGTTAGCTCCCAGTTTTGTTTTTGCTGACTATATAGAGCTTCTCCATCTTTGACTGCAAAGAGTATAATCAATTGGATTTCGGTATTGACCATCTGGTGATGTCCACGTGTAGAGTCTTCTCTTGTGTTGTTGGAAGAGGGTGTTTGCTATGACCAGTGCATTCTATTGGCAAAACTCTTAGCCTTTGCCCTGCTTCATTCTGTACTCCAAGGCCAAATTTTCCTGTCATTCCAGGTATTTCTTGACTTCCTACTTTTGCATTCCAGTCACCTATAATGAAAAGGACATCTTTTTTGGGTGTTAGTTCTAGAAGTTCTTGTAGGTATTTATAGAACTGTTCAACTTCAGCTTCTTCAGCATTACTGGCTGGGGCATAGACTTGGATTACTGTGATATTGAATGGTTTGCCCTGGAAATGAACAGATATCATTCTGCCATTTTTGAGACTGCATCCAAGTACTGCATTTCAGACTCTTTTTTTGACTATGATGGCTACTCCATTTCTTCTAAAGGATTCTTACCCACACTAATTTGGAAAACTCAGCAGTGGCCACAGGACTGGAAAAGGTCAGTTTTCATTCCAATCACAAAGAAAGGCAATGCCAAAGAATGCTCAAACCAAAGAATCCACAATTGCACTCATCTCACACACTAGCAAAGTAATGCTCAAAATTCTCCAAGCCAGGCATCAACAGTATATGAACTGTGAACTTCCAGATGGTCAAGCTGGATTTAGAAAAGGCAGAGGAACCAGAGATCAAATTGCCAACATCTGCTGGATCCTTGAAAAAGCAAGAGAGTTCCAGAAAAACATCTACTTCTGCTTTATTGACTATGCCAAAGCCTTTGACTGTGTGGATCACAACAAACTGCGGAAAATTTGTCAAGAAATGGGAATACCAGACCACCTGACCAGCCTCCCGAGAAATCTGTATGCAGGTCAAGTAGCAACAGTTCGAACTGGACATGGAACAACAGACTGGTTCCAAATCTGAAAAGGAGTACGTCAAGCCTGTATATTGTCACCCTGCCTATTTAACCTATATGCAGAGTACATCATGAGAAACGCTGTGCTGGAAGAAGCACAAGCTGGAATCAAGATTGCCAGGAGAAATATCAATAACCTCAGATACACAGATGACACCACCCTTATGGCAGGAAGTGAAGAAGAACTAAAGAGCCTTTTGATGAAAGTGAAAGAGGAGAGTGGAAAAGCTGGCTAAAAACTCAACATTCAATAAAAACTAAGATCATGGCATCTGGTTCCATCACTTCATGGCAAATAAATGGGGAAACAGTGGAAACAGCAAGAGACTTTATTTTTAGGGGCTCCAAAATCACTGCAGATGGTGACTGAAAGCCATGAAATTAAAAGACACTTGCTCCTTGGAAGAAAAACACTTGCATATTAAAAAGCAGAGACATTTCTTTGCCAACAAAAGGCCGTCTGGTCAAAGCTATGGTTTTTCCAGTAGTCATGTATGGATGTGAGAGTTGGACTGTAATGAAAGCTGAGCACCAAGGAATTGATACTTTTGACCTGTGGTGTTGGAGAAGACTCTTTTTTTTAAAGTTATTAATTTATTTTAATTGGAGGCTAGTTACTTTACAATATTATAGTGGCCTTAGCCATACACTGACACGAATCGGCCACAGGCGTACATGTGTCTCCAATCCTGAACCCCCCCCCCCAACCTCCCTCCCTATCCCATTCCTCAGCGTCATCCCAGTACACTGGCCCTGAGCATCCTGACTCATGCATCGATCATAGATTTGTGACCTATTTCACATATGGTAATAAATGTGTTTCAGTGCTATTCTCTCAAATCATCCCACCCTCACCTTCTTCCACAGAGTTCAACAGTCTGTTCTTTGTATCTGTGTCTCTTTTGCTGTCTTGCATATAGGGTCATCATTACCATCTTTCTAAATTCCATATATATGCATTAATATACTGTATTGGTGTTTTTCTTTCCGACTTACTTCACTCTGTATGATAGGCTCCAGTTTCATCCACCTCATTAGAACTGATTCAAATGCATTCTTTTTAATAGCTGAGTAATATTCCACTGTGTATATGTACCACAGCTTTCTTGTCCATTCATCTGCCGATAGACATCTAGGTTGCCTCCATGTCTTAGCTATTGTAAACAGTGCTGCAATGAACATTGGGGTACACCTGTCTCTTTCAATTCTGGTTTCCTCAGTGTATATGCCCAGCAGTGGGATTGCTGGGTCATATGGCAGTTCTATTTCCAGTTTTTTAAGGAATCGCCACATTGTTGGAGAAGACTCTTGAGAGTCCCTTGGATGCAAGGAGATCAAACCAGTCAATCCTAAAGGAAATCAGTCCTGAATATTCACTGGGGACTATGCTGAAGCTGAAATTACAACACTTTGGCCACCTGATGCAAAAAACTGACTCACTGGACAAGACCGTGATGCTGAGAAAGATTGAAGGCAGGAGGGAAAAGGGAGGACAGGGGATGAAATGGTTGGATGGATGGCATCACCGACTCGAAGGACATGAGTCTGAGCAGGTTCCAGGAGTTGGTGATGGACAGGGAAGCCTGGCGTGCTGGAGTCCGTGGGGTCGGAAAGAATCTTGACACGACTGAAGGACTAAAATGACTGAATCCAGATGCGAGAACACGATGAATCCAGAGAAGCCTAAGACTTAGCAGGAAGGGAAGAGGGAGAAAAGCCCATCCGACCAACGAGTTAGCAGGAAAGAAGTGGGTCCCGGCAACCATAAACCGAAAATTGAAAAGCCCTCTTCGCGGTTCTGTGACTCGAATTTGGGGAGGATGCTACAGCCAGAGCTGGTGGGGTGCCCATTTCGCTGAATGCGCGGACAGCAGGCGCTACCACCCCCTCGCCCTCCAGGGTGACTGTTTCCCAGAATCCCCAGCCCTGCCCCCTTCTCAAGGGTCCTAAAAAAACCTAGAATTGTCCATTAACGTTAGTAATATCTTAGATGGCTCAAGCGCATTCTCGGTTCAAAGTGCATTCAGTAGTGCACGGTTCTCCCGCCCTAGAACACTGGTGGTTTAAGACCAGGCCGCCCCCCCGATCTTTCTGGCCAATCAGGAGCCACGTCCTCCGGCGCGCTCCTTTCCTGCCCCGCCCCCTCCCGTCTCCATGGGAACGCTCAGGGTGTCCCGTCCGAGGCCTGAGGCTTTGGTTTTGGTCAAGCAGGGTGGCAGACGTTGTTTGGAGGGAGTGTTTGAGTTGGTCCCTGTTCCTCTCCAGAGGCTCCGTAAGTGACGCGGACTCTCGGGAGCATCAAACCAGAAGCAGACAAGGACGAGAAGAGCTGTGGCAGAAGAGAGGGCCAGGTGTCGAGAAGCCGCTCAGGCTTAGAAATCTCGGACTCCAGTGTAGGTGGGTCCTTCCCAACCGCCCTCCCCACGTTAAAACTGAAGGGGACGGGAGAGAGGAGGCAAAGGTAACTTGGATCCTCGGGCCGGGGTGCTCTGGGCTGGGAAGTGCTGGGACGGAGGTCTGGATGCGGAACAGAGGCCGCCTGTGTCTCCGCGGCAGGAGCGGAGGCCCTGTGGATCCTGCTCTGCGAGAACAGTTTGTACGTCTGAACCCGGAGCTTCAGATGTACAAACTCTGGCGGCCCTTGGTGTGTAGGGGGCAGTGCAAACCTGTCCTGCTCCTCGAACACCATGAATCAGTTTTCTTTCTAGTGAAAGAGGGCTCTTAACTGTTTATCATTTTCTCCAGGGACCTGTGATCAGCAAGGGAGGACCAGAGTGGCAAATACTAATGCCCCCATTTTACAGGTGAGGAAAGTGAGATCCTCGGAGGTCTAGAAGTTTGGTCTTTTTCAGAGTTCTACAAGTGGTTGGTGGGATTATGATCACGTCGTAGAAACCCTAGATCTGGGATCTTCTGCTAAGATTCTGTACTCTGATCTAATACTAAATCCAGTATTTATGTTGTAAGAAGTGGGGTGGGAGAGGGTGATGGAATTAACCTTTCTACTTTACTGACTGAACAAGATTTTAAAAAATGCTTTTAGAAAGAAGCTTTTTAAGTGTGTTGCTGTTATTCCAATTGTTTTTATTTTTCTTGTTAATAATAAACTAGGAAAATTTTGATGCTCAGAGAGGTTAAATTACATGGAAAGCATTTGTATTCCTGGAGAGACTAAACTTTGAGATCAAATTCTATGTTTCCATGCCCAGGCTAGAACTGTACTTTTTCTAGATGTTCAGAAATGAGGTCCTGAGTGCAAATTCATGTAAGTCTCCTTTCTGGTCTTTGAAAAGGCACAGAAATGTTCTTGGGCTCGTTCTGACATCTTTCTGGGAGTTTTGGGGGTCACACTCAAATCTTAGTGCATGGGGATTGTAGTGAGTTTGGAAATTTCAAGTCATGCCAGTCTTTCATTCCTCCTCTCTTCTCTCTCAGCTCAGCCTTCTCAACATTCCACCCTTCCCTAAAAAAGGAGCACAAAGGAGGAAAGAATGGTCACTCTTTCCCTCACAGTCTGATCCTGGGTGAGTAGGATTGTCTTCTCTTATTTATAAAATGCCCCTGACTTCTTCATGGATAGCAGGAGTAGTAGAAGTGGCAACAGGGATAGATGGACCAGACTGAATAGAACATGTTCCTCATTTGCCTGGGAAGCTTTCAAACCTCCTATGCAGCAAGCCCCTGCCTCCCGCCCAGGGTCTTTTCTTGACATTTACTCATTCAGCCAGCCAGTCATTCAAGTCTACTATATAATTCATAATGTCTTTGATACCCTGAGATAAATGTCAGAATGTATTTCCTTAACCTTGGGCAAATAAATCACATGAGGTTAACAAGAATTTCTAAAGTTACCATATGTTAAACAGTGGTGGAATGAGTGGCAATTTTAAATAAAAGACAGAAGCAGGTACTCAAATTTGAATTATTATTATGAATTGGAAGATATCATTCCAGCAGGAAGACCATCATTTAGTCTCCGGCAGAATATGAGGGGCTTCCCTGGTGGCTGAGCGGTAAAGAATCCACCTGAAATGCAGGAGCTGCAGGAACCGCAGTTTTGATCCCTGGGTCAGGATGATCCCCTGGAGGGGTAAATGGCAAACTTTTCCATTATTATTGCCAGGAGAATCTCATGGACAGAGGAGTTTTGTGGGCTCAGTCCATAGGGTCACAAATAGACACAACTGAAGCAACTTAGCACACACACACATGGAAAGATTAGTATATATACAAAATTTCGAATCATGATAGATAGGCTCCATGAGGGCAGAGAATGTTCCCAGTATATAGAACAATGTCTGGCATATAGTAAGCACTCAATGAATAGCTGTTGAATATGTGAATGGCTGTTATATGTTTCATTTTTTCATTTAACATATGAAGTGGACATTTTTCCAAGTATGTTTTGGTAGCAGGAGTTTTAATGGCTATATAATCTTTCATTCCAAGTGTATACCATGCTTTATTTAAATTTTCTTTTATTGGGAAAAACTTAAGTATTTTCCAATATTTTGCTATTATGAGCAACTTCTAATAAATATTCTTATAATTTATTAAGTATTTCTATTTCCTCAAGATATGTTCTAGGACATAAGATAATAGAGTCAAAGAATACAAACATGTTTTAGGCTTTTGAAAAACTTAAGTTCTTTTTTAGAAATATTGCATAAACTAACTGGTACAACCATATAATGAAAGGTCTTGTGTTGCTTAACCTTTACCAGCATTGAATATTATTTTTAAATTTTAGCCTTGAATTGCATCTTTTCAGTCTTTATTAAGATTGATCATTTTAAACATATACTTCTTGATCATTTGCATTCCTTCTTTGATAAAATAACCAGACATACATTACCTTTTTTCCTATTTATTTTTTTTCCATATGATAAAAGGTATACTTTGTATGTAAAATACAGCAACCATTTGTTGTATGCTATAAGTGTTACTCTAAGTTATCATTTGTCTTTTACCTTTAAGGACTTTTTAAATATAATTTAAGTTTGCATAAAGTGAATCTTATTTCTTTTTATTTATATGTATAATTTTATGCTTTGAAAGTTCTTTGTCCCAAGTCTAATACATAATTACTTTTATTTTCCTCAATTATTTCTTATGGTTTCAAGTATTTTTAAAATTTAACTCTTAAACCTATCAGGCATTTATTTTTGTGTGAGAAAAAAATACAAAGAATATATGGAAACATATATGTGCAATTTAAAATACAGTGATAGCATGGCTACCCACCATATAGACCAGCAAATACTTTTAAAAGCCCCCTGATAAGCCCACAACTTCACTCTTCTTCTCCTAGAGAGGCAACTGATACCTTAAATGTTGTGTTTGGCATTCCCTAGGTTTTGTGTGTGTGTGTAGTTTTAACTACCTATGTCTGTATCACTAAACAAAATTGTTTAGTTTTGCCTATTTTTAACATTAAATGGAATCAGTATATATTTTGTGAATGGCTACTTTAGCATAACGTTAGATTTTTACAGTGCAACCATGTTGATTCATGTAGCTGTAATTTATTTTCACTGCTGTGTACTATTTCACAGTATGAAAAACAGCTTATTTATCCAACATAAATTGTGCCTTCTGGATTATTTCCAGTGTTTTTGCTACTATAGCAGTCATACTCTAAATGCTCTTACACATATCCTCTGGTATTCATATGTAAGTTTCTTTAGGATACAAACCTTGTAGTGGAATTTCTGGGATGTTGAACTCCCTTATAATTGCTCATAATTTTCAGTTGATTTTCTTGGACTTCCCAGAAAAAACAAGCACACCCTCTACAGATAATCTGCTTGCACTAGCAAATGCTTTCATATTAATGGCTGTAAAATAGTGAATTTGTAGTATCCTTGTTTCCAATTTTAATGGGAATGCCTTTATTGTTTTACCTTTGGATTTGAACTGTTTTTGCATATCTTTGTTTTGGTAACTTGCTTTGTTTGTAGCTTTAAATGAAGGACCAATGTTGAACTTTAAGAGATACCTTTTGGGCATTGATTAAAATAATTGTATGGCTTTTCTTATTTGACATTATGATTATGGCTTATAACTAATAGATTTCCTCTTATGAACCTTCCTTTGCTTTTTTGGAATGAGCCACCATTTCATCATGCTATAATATACTTTCATACTGTAGCAGAATACATTTTCCAAAGATGGCCATACCTATAATTTATCCTATCCTTCATGCTCTTTCTACAATGTGACTTTCATGCTTCTGACCAAAAGGTGGGATCTATGACCCCTCCTCTCAAATCTGGCTGGGGTGAGTGTTTGTCTCAGCCAATGGAAAACAACACTGGAGGACAATTGGAGAACACTGAATAATGGAGAACTCAATGGAGAAACCACAACAGCAGAAGTGATGCTATGTGACTTCCCATGCTAAGTCGTTGAAAGGATGCAACTTTTGCTTGCCCGTCTCTCTCAAGAAACTTGCCACCATGTTGAGAGGTAGCTCAGGCCACAAGAAAGGACCAAGTAGAAAGAAACTGAGATAGCCAACCTGCCAGCCAGATGAGTGAGCCACCCTGGGAATGATTCCTTCCGCCCACTCAGACCTATAGATGACTGCAGAGTTAGCTGACAACTCCACAGACTCTCATGAGAGGTCCGAGTCAGAACTGCCCAGCCAAGCCACCCTTGAATACCTGACCTAGAGAAACCATGAAAGATAATAATCACTGTTTTAAGCCACTCAATTTTGAAGTAACTAGTTATGTGGCAGTGGATTATAAATACAGGTGTTGCTGAATTTTATTGACCTTATATTTTACTTTATTTCCTTCTGAAGTTTGTCAGTATTCATTAGTAATATAAATCTATAGTTTTCTGACTTTTGCCATCTCTTTTCTTGAGTTTTTTAAAATTTTGATAATTTTTTATATGCCTTGGAATAATTTAATAGAATCAGATAATCTGCTCTTTGAAAATTTGAAAGAATTTATTTAAGGAGACTTTTGGATTGTTATTATGAAAGTCACATGTCTTTGATAACTTAACCAATCTGTTTCAAAATATCTGATCTGTTCATTGTTTTTCCCTTTTTGGGGGGCCGTATCAAAAGGTTTTCAAGGAGAAGATAAATCCCATCCAGATTTTCAGATTTATTTTCTAAAGAATTATGGAAAGTGCCCACCCTTTTTTCTTTTTTTTTTTGTAGCTTGTCAGGGATTGATATATATTCTTGTTAATATTTTTCTCACAAAGAACTGGCCCTTGGATTCATTTAACAATGGTAAATGTTTTTCAATTCCAACATTTTTACTGACTTTGTAACTTTCCCTTTAACATTTAAATGTTTAATCCATTTAGTGTTCTCATTGTATATGCTATCAAGTTGGAATCCAACTTTATTTTTTCTCATATAGTTAATCAGTTTTACCACTATCTAATCCATTCTTTCTTTTTTATTTTCTTTTTAATACCATTTTTATTGTTAATAAGTTTTCATATATAAACAAGTACATTCCTTATTCTCTGAATTCTCAATTCCATTCTACTGGCCTATTCTGATTTTACTGCTGTCATTGGTGATATGTTGATATTTGGGAAGACAAGTGTTCCTTGGTTTACTTAAGTCTTTATGGACTTATTTTTCCTCCCTATAAATTTTAGGGGGAAAAGTATATTCCTCAAAAAATCCAGCTAGAAATTTGACTGGAGGTATATGAATTTGAGTCATGCATCCAAGAACATGCAGGCATGCTTCTTCTTTTATTCAGATAATCTTTTTACTACCTCATTGGAATCTGAAAGTTGTCATCAAAGATAAAACTTTTATAAGATAGTATTTTTTTTTTTTTTTTGGCTGTTGTGAAGGATATCTTATTTCCTGGTAATTGATTGCTGCTATTGTGATGCTTTTGCTTTATCTTATCTGGTAATTTTGCTGAGCTTGCTCATTAATTTATGGTTTATCCATACACTTTTGTTTTCCTAGGTAAATGACCATAACATATGCAGATAATGACATTTTATGTTTTTTCTTCTAAACCTTATGCTTATTTCTTTTACTTTTCTTCTAATATTTGTCAGAACCCTCAGTACTATTTTGAAAGCAGTGGTGATGGTGTGTATCCTTATCTTGTACCATCATAAAAGGAATACATATAAAATTTCTCCATTAAGCTTATTGTTTGATGTGGATTCTTAGTATATAATCTTTATGAATTTAGATAGTTTCTTTTTATTTCTAGTTAGCTAAAAGTATTTTTAGGACTTATATAGGTGGTAAAAATTATTATCTTTAGTACACAATTTTTCTGCATCAGTTAAGATAATCATGGTTTTCTTCTGTAGTCCATTACTAGAATGAATTATGTTGGTTAATTTTTCATGTTGAACTCTTCTCCATTCCTGTTATAAATTATGCTTTATCATGATGCACAGTTTTCATACATTTCTGAGTTAAGTTAGCTAATATCTATTTAGGACTTTCTATATATTTATCAAACTTAAAAATGGGCCTATAGTTTTATTCTTTTGTATTGTTCTTATCAGGTTTTGT